CTAAACACACAGTCAAGGCGACCCCAACCATACAGATTTCGCGGTCAAATAAGTCTGACCCAGTAACCAGTATCGACATTTCGAGTAATCCGACCGAGCTGTGCCGTCACGCGGTGAAATATCGGGTGGGGTAAACGCTCAGAAGGCGAATCATTCATTCATCTCACAAGTTAAGTAGGGAGTAGGAAACCCTCAGCAATTGTGCCACAACACAACTTAATCGGATGGCAGTAAAAAGAATGAAAGAGAAAAGAAGATAACGCAAAAGCAGACAGCATAAAGATACTACTATACTTTGCATCATCATTGACAGTCCCATTGTGGTTAGAAAGGGAGAATAAGTAGGATGAAGGGACTAAGATACCCAAAAAACAGATCCAAGTGAGGTCAGCTTCCGGTCATATCAAAAAGTATATCAAACCAAACGTGTTTATTGTCTTTCGGAGCAACCGAAGCCAACTTCGAAAGGAATACCTTAAGTCATTAGTTGGCCTCCCCTCCTCTTTTTACGTCCGGATCCCGGCCGAGCAAATGCAAGTCGTGCGAACTGATGTGCTGGCATTCGTAACAAGTGGCCCGGACATCGGAGCTTGGAGCGTATGATAATGGTGTTCAGCGATCAACTCACACTTGCTGCGTCACATACACGTTAATTGCTCATGCGGTGTTTTCATCGAATGTCGGACAACCTGCGAAGGCACTGGTGGTTGAACGTAATAAGACTACGTCTGTCGATTAGATGGGCCAGATTTCACTACTATGCCGGAGGGCTGAACGACCAGCTGCATTGTAGATCCTATCCTTCAGGGCAACAGCAATGTCACGCCCGCGCCACAGGTGGAGAAATTTGGTGAAAGTAACTCCAGCGAAACACCTGATGGAAACGGGTCATCAGGTGGACCCCAACTGGGAGTTTATTGTCATCTACCGTAACACAAACGCCAGAGTCCTCAAGTTTGCCGAGACAGTGGCCATAAAAAAGCATTGCTAAACATTCTGCATCCAGAAGCAAATGTTGGTTACGCTAAAACACCCTTACAGTTAATAATTCCTCCTCAACCCGTAGCCAACGTTTACTTCGCTTGCATGTGATCTCACGCTTTTAACTCATTGATTTCTCTTTTATCACCTTATCATTTGGTATGTTGTCCGTTTGCAAGTGAACACAAGGCCCGAAATGGTACCATCTTGCAACATCCATCTTCTTATTGTGGTATTCAAGTAATTACAGGGAACTTAATGCTTCGAACTCCAGCTTTGGTAATACAGTTAACAATGTTGATACAGCTGCCAAAATGGTTAAATTTCTGAATGACTTCGAGCAAGGGGGGCAGTCTCTGGTAATCATAATGAAAAACATTTCGGTTGCAGAGTACAAACAAAACACCATACAAAACGACTGACGGTCAAAGGTAAGATGAACAGTGCTGCTTGTAAGCTATCACCGATTTGGACAATATCATCTGCATGCTCCAAGTTAAAGAAACGGATCACCCGGGAGCAACTCCATATGTTCCATTCAACGGCGATCAGGAGAATAACCATATGTTGCAACAAGTTTTTGACCGAGCTCTTGAATGGTCAAAGACAGATCTACCTCCGTTCAAGACGAACAAGTGTAAAATTGTACATGTACGCCACAAACACAATGAGCTTGGGGACTAGATCATGAGGAGCTCATGGGTTCCAGAGCTGCCAGTCAATCTACGATGAACGGTAGAGGCAAGTAATTCGAGGAAACTGAGGTCAAACGGCTACCTCTATGACTAGCGCATTCTGAAAACAACCGATCCCTTGCCTAAAAGATCACTAATTGGCTTCATAATCCGATGGCGCGGGCTCCAAGCTGGGTAGGGGGAACAGACTGCCCTCGTACGACTGGTGATGACTATGGGGCAGCGAAGCGTCGGTACTTTGTACCGGGGTACTGCCGATATCTTACTCTGGATGTGAATATCGTCCTGATGATCAGGACAATAACGGAGATAAACCGGTCGGTTGGGGCAGTTTCCTGCTCACACAGTTCAGTTGAAATCTCCCACAAAAACATGTATCCTAAATGTGAAGAGTGCTAGAGGAAATGCATCAGGCTGCGCGGATTTATTCCATAAGAACTGCTCAAGGAGTAGGGCGGTCGTTAGCTGGCAACGAATCTAGAGAGTTCGGCCGAGCAAATTGCTCTCCAAAATGCTCAGCGCAGCGCACCAAGCGTTTTGATATTGTATAAATAGCCTGTTCCTCATTGTTGCGTATTACACTGCTAACAACAGGTCTCCTGCTGCCCATTTCTCACATCAGATGAAATAAATTGCGGTGGTTACCAAGGAAGGTGGTTGTTTCCATCTCCGACACACGATAAGACCACTGGGATTATCTGCCTCTTTTAAGTCTAGCAAGCAGTTTTGCCCTGAGATCATTGCGAATCTCGCGTTCGCCACGAGTCGAATGAGTTGATGAACAAACTGCGTACAGACTCAACGTCTACGCTGACGACCGGAGTCGCCACACAAATATACTCGTTGCGAATAATATCTGCTGGGCATGCAAGAAATAGCCGTCAACTGTGTTCAGTAAGCGCTTAACCAGGAAGCTCTCATACACAAAATGATCGCTCCCACTTATGAGGCCGTGTACCATCTGTCGGTAAATATACAAATTTATTTATTTATTCAGAACATTTGCCTTTTCCAGTTAGAACGCAACAATGCGTTCACAGCGTCGTAGCGGACTTCAACTGATAAGTACCACAAAACAGCACATAAAAGTACATAATCGGAGTACACCCTATACTTCGGATCCAGTGACGGTTAGCATGCAACCACTCCAGAGGTAACTGATCGCCACCATATCGATTTGCGCCCATATTTCGTGGCCGCTGTGTCAACCACTGACGTTTGCTGTGTCGGAAGTTAGCACGCGCGAGAAATAAACGAGCATCTTCAAGTAGGCGTAACGAAAGATCATCGTTATCATTACGGGAGCCTACACAGAGTGTTAGCTGCCTGGACGCAGCTCACCAATGGACACATTTCCTACTTGTGCGCTCGGATCACCGGCAAAGAATACAGCATCCATAATTCTTCTGTAAAGTAGGAGCCCACTCCATTGGTGCTAGAAGTTATCCTTCACCGAATCCGTGCTAGTTTTTGCGGGTGTATAGAGCAATGACAAACGGGCATCTATAGACCCCGCGTGACCTCAAAGCTTAAAACGAGCCAGCCAATCTGACGGCGTGCATCAGGCTGTTGATTGAGATCCAATCAATCAGGACCGCTTCAGCCCTGGAGTACAGAACATTGTCCACACCGGCTTGGCCGACACTCATAGTTGCAGCATCTCCGGAAAAACGCAGTGAAAAAGTGCCGTCACTGTCGCTGGTGAGGGATCGCAGAGTAATCACGGAGCTGGTGGCTTACAGCGGATTTGCAATAGGTAGCAGATATTGAACGATAGGGTTTCCAGTGTTAGGACAAGTGTTCATCTGTTGACCAATCTGTAACAAAGAGCGCATACCGAAACATGCCAGTCATGTGGACTATTGAGAGCTTCAAGCAGAAGCGTGTGATTTAAGATTGTCTACTTGGTTGGAAACGAACCAGTCGGTAGGGCACGAGTGACATTCTGTGGTTGTGTATCAGTCAAAGCTAGAAGACATACAGCTGTCAAAACAAAGTGGTGGAGGGCCAAGAGCTGGTAGTGTGGAAAAGAATCCGGATAAAACGAAGGTCAATAAGGATGCAAAAGGGCAATATGGAAAATAAAAAGACGGGAAATTTGAGTTTCATGACACTCAAATCCACTCACTTGATGTTGCATTTGGTACACCGTCGATTATTCATTAAGACAGCCAGAGTGGTAGGAAATAATTGGAAGTGTTTATTAGTATACTGTGTAGACAGGATAACATAATGCTGGTGAGGCATAGAAAGGAGTACGATTAGGGTTCTCGACCATAGCTTTTCGTTCGAAAACCTGAGTGCAAGGCAAAGGGTACTGACACTAGGCGACAAAGAGTTTGTTTTATGAAGTAAGCAGCCAAACTTACTCCAAACCACTACCTGGGGGACCAGGAAATTGAGTGAGTTTGGCCTCTAATGATTAACCAATCTGCGATGAGTGATAAGTGCAAGAAGCACCACCCAGCACAAAACCACGGATCATTGAGGTAAGCAAATCGTGGCACTAAGTTAAGGCTTAGATACATTGTGATTGTGAATCAGGGTACATTAGTTCCGCGTTGTGATGTCTACTGCGCGACGCCGACACACGCGCAGCGACTTGAGAACCAGCATCAGTCCATATAATCAACCAAATGGGCCATATGTATCATGCAATCATGCCACCTGCAGTGATTGAGTGTTAACATGCACCGGGTGAGGTGGGAAGAGAATTGCTTAGCAAAATTCTTTAAACAGTAGCTATTTGACATAAAAGTGTTCAACAGATTCCGTCCCAAAAGGAAAAATACGTACGAGCGCGCATACACACAGTCGTGAGACAAAGAACCGTTACCGAGTGTGCATTTGTGTTCGACTGCAACCGCAACATAGGTCGAAGTTCGGCGAGAGTGCGAATAGGCCGAGAAGGTTGTTTATTCTCCTCAATGGAGCTTGAAACTACGCGCAGGCAACGAGTGGAAACCGAAGCGTGGCTGCAGTTGCTTCCAGCTGAAGGAGCCGTTGGTAATGGACGAATGTGTGATTGGTCGTCAGAACGCTTGGAATTTGAGTGAATACAAGTTCGGTCATCTGGCGGGTGATCAGAAGGAGGTGTTACAATAGGAAATGTAGGGGGTCCAATCGGGTTACCAACTGACGCCTGGTCGAGACAGTGTGAAACTAGAGTAATGGGCATAATAATTTGTACTGATAAACCATCTTTCTACAAGAGCATACATAAACAGGTGTGGGGACTTTATAAATGTTACACAAGGGCAAAAAGGTTCAGTAATCATGTTTACGATGACCAAACCGGTTAGCAAATGAAATAACGTAAAGCTTTATTAATTCGTTTTTCGTTATCTGTTGGGTTGGTTAGCATTCAGGGCTACAAACCACGAAATTGTAAATTAAATGAGTTACTAATACCTTGTCAGTAGCATAATATATTAGTGAATTTATAAATAGAAGGAATGCGAAACGAAAACATTAAGAGCATGTCATGCAGGCTGTGAATTTGCAAGAGATGAGATGGCTTCTCCAGGTTTCGTTAAGGCGTCAGCTGTCAAAATGGAGAAATCTGTTCTACGGAAACAGCCTTTGCAAATTAGAACATGGGATATCTGACTTGTTCATGTTGCATGAGATTCAAATAGAAATCTCGCTCGGCGACATGAGATTGGGGAAGTACTTCAGCAACGACTGAAGCAAGACGCATGTGAATAGCCTAGAGTCGGTTGTGCTAAGACTAAGGCCATCACGAATTCAATATGGTATTCTTCTGCTCTTCTAAAAGATGAGAATGTGTTGCGGGAACGTCAAGTAACCCCGCAAAATGTGCCACAAAATCCAGCGCGTAGGCTGCGAAACGCATATTCCAATTTCTGCCCACAACGTAGCAAGATCCAGCCATTCGGAGTCGGGGTACAGCTTTGGTAAAGTGAACAATGTTCTTTCGTAAACCACCACCCCTACGTGGTGATGCATTTCACCCACATAATGAACCACTGTGACAACCGTGATTCGACCTTTGTGTGTCGTAAAAGAGCTCTCAGAGGCCCACTTCGTCTTGCCTTTTGTGGTTGGTTGGGACTCGCGTGGCCATGTGATCGTGTGCGTCAATTTAGCCGGATGTTGCAGTTGGGTCTAAGTCACTCGCATCTAGTCCCACAGTCGGGTGCGTATCGTTGCCCGCTTTCGAAGACTCAGCGCCTTACCCGAATATGTGCGTGAATAAGGATGATGCTCATCTCACGCATAACTTTCGTCTAAACTAACATGATAAGGTTTGCGCAAATCCATTACAGAATGACAGACTACCACCATAAATTCCTTGATATGCCAAGTGGTGCCGAAAAAGGTGGTTAGATTAGTCACCAGTGTATCAGTACTGCCTTCCAGTAATGATGGGAGAGAGTTGTCAAGTCCAGGCATCTTGTTCCCCTTTAGTGAGACTAGCTAGCGATGGGCTTCCTTGAAGATAAAAACTGCGACCTCAAATCAGCAGTTGGCCCAATCGAAATTTTTGAAACAGCAGACTGCCCCTCTGTGTTTGGCATGGTGTTCAGGTTAGAGTGACTGAGAGCGAGACAAATGATCGGATTGCTCTACTGATGTGTCACTTGCGAGATCGCTTGTTGAAAACATGTATCGAAGGAGTAATATCATCACTTCGGGGTTTCGGGCTTTGGTCATCCGAGGATGCCATCCGTCAATCCTGGACATGTGTGGCTTCAGCGTTGTACAAACGCCAGGGTTGTTAGGGAGTTTAGTCAAATACAGAGGGTGTCCGTGTTTTAGCGCTGAGATAAGCACGCTAACATTTACTCGCACGTCAATTGACCTCAATGCTTGAGGTCCATACTGCATACGTGGTGTTCGTATGTGCGTACAGCGTAAAGCAAGCCATGCATGATCGCCTTACGCGGCGCACACATCGTGTGGCTCCCTACGGTCACAGTGGAATGCAATTAAGTATAAGTGTCGCAAATTTTAGGATGAGCGGCCCGAAAGAAACCACAGAAGATGCAAGGTAAGAGGTTTTTGGAGAATAAGGCAATCCCAAGAGGAAAAGCCGCGATGGACTATATCTCATGGACTCACCAGTGAATCGCTGCTGTCGACCGTGCAAAGAGAGAGCTGGATCACCTGCAAATACTTTACTTGTGTTCACTGCCGCATCTACTAAATGGCTTGGATGAATGCTAGAGGATTCTCCACAGACTATCCCGTTGGACTTAGCTGACGAAAGTGGTACCGACTTGTTCTGGCCCTTTTTATCCAACAAGCAACTAATCATCGTTTCCAAGCGTTTCAATTGGGAAGCAGGAAGAGAGGCCAAAATGGTATGGATCGCGGAGCGATTGTGTTCCGGAGATTTGGAATTAGTTGAGCCTGAGGCAGGCTGGTTTGGAGCTGGGGATTTCGCTGAGGAACAGGATGGATGAGAGGCAGCAATGGATGAGCTCTCAGACACCTCTTTGTATCGAACAGGATCATATGTGCCGGAGACGTCGTGTTCATCAATTGTATACAAGCTCTTTCTGTGTACCACTTTGTCGTTAACAGCCAAAGCTTGTGAGCTAGGCAGAGGTCTGGGAACGGAATCTGAGGCCAGCGAGTCCACAGCAGGCGTGTCAAGCTTCGATACATCCGCCGGAAAGGAGGTCCACAAGTTTGCAGATAAGCCATTCGGCTGGACATCGGAAATAGTAACACCTTCTTCTAGCAACAGAGAAGCGTCTGGAACGTTGAATTCTGGGACTAAGCTGAAGAAGTGAGATGATTGGAAAAAGGAAGACTTAGTAATTACAAACAAATCAAATGAAAAATACCATGATATGAAATCGGGTTACGGGGTAAAAATGCAGAGTTCTAATGGAAAGCTCGAGCGTGCATTTTCATTCAGCCGTTAGCTAAATTTGTGCTGATGAGTCGGGCAGAGGCGCACGACGAAGTAACAGTGAGCAATAGGAAATGAATGAACAGCCGTGGTGGGAAGTTGTGACTCTAGGGGCTAAGTATGTCCGCTCTAACATTCGCAACTTATATGGCAGCGGAGGATGAGTTACACTATATCGACTAGTAAATCATGTACAGTGGTTGCCGTCCCCTGTGCATTAGCCGGTAATATACTGGCTAGTAACGCAAATCGTTAGTGTTGAGAGGGCATGGGTCCGGTTCCTGAAGAAGCAGTGGGAATGGTCTTAATAGAACGAAACGGCTGCCTAGTATTTCTCAAGGCTACGAATACTTAGTCGCCCGGTCCTCTACGCGGAATCCGACCCGTGCCCTCGGACTACAAGGCAGGGTTAGGATCCTATAGGCTACAGGTTAGCAGCATTCATGATGCACAGACTTTAGCAAGAAAGAACTTGATTAAAAGACAGGGGAGAAAGTACAAAATATGCTGTGTTCAGCAAAACCAGTTTAATTTTATGAAACCAGTTTCAGGGTATTATCATCCATTCCATATCACCTCTGCCTGCGCAGAAACAACGGCTCAGCACAACAGCCAGCGTGTGCGGACTTGTGATAGGCCATTGCAACCATCATCAGGAATAAAGTACCAAACTATGTTCCAACATGCAGCGGATCAGAATGCACATTAATGGGTTGTTAAAAGCCATTCCATACCGCGTGTACAACGAGGCGACGCGCCAGCAATCGTGCAACATGGGCTAATGCCGCGTCGACGCTAAGATAAAAATCAGACGAGGTTAACTTAGGCCAGCAATAATGTTAAACTTAGGGGACGAAAATTCTAACGAAATCGATCGGATAAGCATTCAGCATTCTGGCTCGAAGAGGATTCGCTTGTCATATGGTCGTGACGTTGTTTCAACCAATGACAGTTTTACACCTTTACAGTTTCCAGGTCATCGGGTGGGAGGACTTTATAACCTCATGTAGGTGTCCCCTATGTACCTCGTTTGGTCTTCTCGCAAGAGAGTGTTCTTTGTTGACGTCTTCCGAATGCCGTTTTGGGTCGAACGTTTGGGCTTTGAGGTCGGCACGCTAGCGATACATAGAAAGCCACAACAGATTTTATGGCGACGGAATAACATTGTGAATAACTCCCAAATATGCCACCTTCAATGGAAGAGCTCAGCTTGATCCTGCAGCAGCAAGAGAAGCTATTTGAGGAATCATAAGCGCCATTGATCGAAACGCTGCTGCAGAAATTGTATGTTCAATCGTCCTTAACTGGCAGAAAGCCGTCATCCGTTGATGCAATTTCAGGAAGCATCACAGAATTCATCTATGATCTAGATGCTGGATGCACTTTCGAATCTTGGTTCAGGAGGTCGAAGGCACATTCCAGACAGAACTGGCTGATACGGATGACGACTGGAAATCACGCTTGCTTCTACGAAAGCTTGGGACCAAGGAACACGAAAGGTTTGTGAATTTTATCATGCTTGCTACAGCATATGATAATACTTTATTGTCACAAAGCACATGGAAGATGATCGGTCAACCTCACCTAAAGCCGACAAATCACACAGCGCTGAATTCTTCCGGTAGAGTCCTGAAACTCACGGGTGAACTTATGTGTTCTGTGTTTTTCAATAATGTGCAGTCCTGTGCCGTGTGTTACCTGTTTAATCGGCCAGATCTAAACATCTTGGACCTAGATTGGATCGCAAAAGGTCCCACCTAATTCTGTGCGTTCAGTCTGTGATCAATCCTCCTAGAAATGTTCTGTCAGAGTGTTTGTGCCATAAGGTCACTCAAATATTCCGGGATCAGCTTGGTTGTTGCACGGAAACCAAGGCAGTATTGTCCCTCCGCCCCGACGCAAAACCTGTTTTCCGACCCAAACGTCCAGTACCATATGCAGCGTTACCAAGCGTTGATCAGGAATTAGAGAGACTGCAACAGGCTGGCATCCTTCAACCTGTGAATTACTCCTCATGGGCTGCTCCTATTGTGGTGGTCAAGAAATGAAATGGGAAAGTCCGAATTTGTGCAGACTTCTCCACTGGTCTGAATGCTGCTCTGGAAAGTCACCAATATCCATTGCCTCTGCCGGATGATTTATTCGAAAGGACAAACAGAGGCAAATGTTTCGCCAAACTGGACTTGTCGGACGCATACCTTCGAGTGGAAGTTTCTGAGGATTCACAAGATCTGCTGACTGTCAATACTCACGATACACTCGCCTACCATTTGGAGTAAAAACGGCACCTGCCATTTTTCAACAGATCATCGACAACATGTTACAGGACGTCCCATCAGTTGCAGCACATCTTAACGATTATCAATATCATGCAAACTGATCCGACGGATCTAGAAAAGCGGATTGAAAAGGTGCTAAAGCGAATCCAAGATTTTGGGTTTCGCCTGAGGGAAGAAAAGTGTATCTTTTACTTGGATTCAGTAAAATACTTGGGATTCATTCTTGATTAAAACGATCGAAGATCATACCCCAACAATATTGAGGCAATCCAGAAAATGCCTCCACCACACGACGTGACGAAGCTACGATCATTCATGGGATTGGTCATCATTACCATCAACAACAACAGCATTACATCAGCCATTAGAACTGACGCTTCACTGTCATACAAACATGATGACCTATGCAAAAAGAATAATAAGAGGGAGAGAAAGGGGACTTACGTGAAAAGCTTAATGTCCTAAGCAAGAATTCAGGTTCAACACGACTGCACACACCGTACAAACAACTGGCTATTATGCAAAAATAAGGCGGCATCGGCGAAACAGACTCCTTGCGTAGTTCACTGCCCGCGTCATAATCAGCCATTGCATCACAGAAAACTCTGCACCAAACACACTTTAAACAGCAATCCGATTAGGAGACAGGCAGCAGACGCGCCATCGGTGTCGACTGCGAGCCATATCCTGTAAAGTCTCGAGCCAAGCACAAGGCGAGTCACGTGGACTCCAGCCCGGAAGGTGAGACGGACCAACGGCACCCAATTTGGTCGTCAGTGACTTCATTTCTCGCTGCCAAGTCAACTTCTGTCCACCTCGAGCCTTGCGCCACCCTACACCTGGCAGACTAAACAAGGCCCTCCTAGGTAAGCGGTGACCAGGCATACGTAGCACGTGCCCGAGCCAACGCAACTTATTCAGTGCTATCTGTTGTTCTAGGGAGCTAGCATGATTATCACACCTAGTACTCGCCTACGCACATCATCGTTGCGGACACGCTGGTGCCATCCGACACCAGCAATGCTTCGCAGACAACGATGATCAAAGACTTGAAGGCGCCTCAGATCTTCAGACCGAAGGGGCCAAGTCTCACTACCATACAGCAGAACGGCCCTCACTGTGGCCTTGTATACACGGCCTTTCAGACGGAGGGAAACTCCCTTCTGTCGCCAAAGATGCCGCAGGTTCAAGAAGGCAGCTCTGGCCTTTGCAATGCGTGAGCTGACGTCAGTTTCTATGCGCCCATCATTGCTGATGCAGCTGCCAAGATAAGTGAATTGATCAACCACCTCGAGTTCCTCGTTAGCAAGCGTCAAGGGGTCATCAAGTGGCTGGTGGTCCTGCAGCAACACTTTGCACTTTGAAGGTGCGAAGTGCATACCAAATAATGGGACCACTCTAGACAGGCTATTCAGGGTTGATTGTGCCGCCGCAACATCGTCGAAAAGCAAGACGATATCGTCCGCATAATCAAGATCAACTAACCTTTCACCAGGCAGCACTTCAACGCCTACATCGTGAGATTCCGCAATGGAACACTCCATGATAGAATCCACGACGAAATTGAACAAAGATGGGGAAATCGGACAACCCTGACGAACGCCACTTGTGGTCGGAAAGCTACCCGACAGATCACCGTAGACCCTGACGCAGCCTGTAGTGTTTGAGTATAAAACACGTAAGATCTTTACGTATTCCGTGGGAACACCTTTCCGCGCAAGTATTTCGGATAGAATGCAACGATCATTTGAATCGAATGCATTCTCTAAATCGAAGAACACAGCTATTTTCGATCTGCGGTATGGGTGGCGCTGCTCTAACACCTGCCGCAGAGTGAATATATGGTCTATACAGCCATGTCCTGGGCGGAAACCGGCCTGCTCTTCCA